AGTAAGTTATGTGCAAGAAAAGTCAAAGAAAATAGTTAACCAAAGTTGTTGCCATTATAAACAAAAATCAGAGTAACTCAGAGCACTGAAGTCACTTGATGAAAGGAAAGCTTATTTGTACAAAAACATACATTTTTATTCAGAATTACTTTTCAATAAGATGACTTTGGCATTAAAACACAGGGCAGTTGATTTTAGCAATGACAACAAATATAATCTGTGATGTTTTTTATCTATAATGTGAGTGAAAGTATACACATGGATCTCCAAAAGTAAAGTGAATATAGCATAGAATTGTATCCATACAAGATACATTGGGATGATATATATTCAAAACTTTTGTATTTTACTTACTTTGCAATTTATAATTGTGTGCATATGTATAAATATTCTGTCACATGTGTATATATGTGTGTCTATGTGCTTGCACATTTGAATATGCACTTAAATAGTGTAAGTTTAGATGATGATGGAAACATCAAGTGTAAATAAAAAAAGTACATGAATTATGATGGCAATCACATATACAGCATGTGTTTTAATATATTTTAGAATAATTGAGTCAGCCTGCTATTAGTTTAATTAAATTTTTTACACCTTCTTGATTAGGCTGCTGGTTTAATGACATCTTCCACACTTTGAGCTGTGAAGTGTGGCTCATTTTAAAGTTCCGTAATGAGAAGGAAAATGTATATCTGATGAACATCTCTCAGAAGACTAAAAACAATTTTTAGATTTTACTTGTGGGGAAACTGCACAATCCAAAGGTAATTAGAATTTTTGTTTAAAAAGTTTACTATGAGCCACATGTAACTGACCATGAAATGGGCAATACTCTTTAAATAGATGGTATTCTATGAGTTTCCTACTAGTGATTGGAGAGAAATGTAGCATTTCTGAAATAATAGGAGGCAGAAAAGAATGAGATGGAAGGGAAAGAATTTTACTGAATCATATGCATAGTTGAGCAAAGATGGAGGAGTATATGCTGTGGTCACTTTGATGTCACATACAATAAGTGCATATTTC